TGTGGAATTTTACATTTTGTAGCTGGATTCAGTAGCTATATCTCTAACAGGTTCTATGTGATTTATCTTTTATGAAAATGACTGCAGAACTATATCCTTATTTTGAAGTTAAAACACTGATGTAAGCATTGTGCAAGACCGACTTTTGCATGAGACTTTATTGTGATGTTATTCTGTGTAGTTCAAAGGTAGTTCTTTTTCTTTTTCAACAATAGCGAATGAGATTTGATTAGACCATCGATCTAGTTACTACTGAAGTTTCATAAAGTTTCGACAGGACCATAGCATTCATACCCATGTGATGAATAACAATCATCTGAAAAAGATTGAGCTATACTTTAACAAACCAAAATTGAGCTATCACTTCGTCTCCGTGCATGGCCCATATTCATTTCTGCGATAATACCTTAGGGTGGCCCTGTCATTTTTGCCAAGAAGTCGAAACAAACTTGAAACAGTAGACAAACCAGAGCCCTAGGTCGTACCTCTGTAACACACAGCGAAAGCTGTCTCATGTAGCTTACCCGTGAATTGGACGGTTGTCTTGGCAATTTCCGTAATTCATTAGTTGTCCCAACTCAAACCAGATGTACCAAGGGTAATTATTATTCCCCTGGTGATATCAAATAGCATTCTTCCATCGGTTGAACTTGAGCTTGTTGTTCATCAGACCCATTGGAAGCAGGGTGTATACAGTCCATTGCAATCAGGACATGACATTTTCTTTCTCGGAGTCGGGGAGACGAGAAGAAGTTTTTTAACGCCCGGTAGTACTTGGGACTCCAGTGGAGTGTGCGCCCTGCGGACTTTTAGGATGTTGATTAATGGAGCCTGTGCCTTGCGATAGTATATTAATGATGGCCGCAGGGCATTGTGGGAAGGTGGAACCCTCATCTGTTATTCATGGTTGTTCTCTCCATCTCTCACTCTCTTTCTATCTCTCTCTTGTCTCTCTTCATCAATCTAAATATCTATCCATCTTTCATCTTTTTAGTTTTGCCTCCATCCTTCCTTATCTTGTCAGCTATCTGATTTTGTTTTCTCTTGCCATATTGGAGCCGAACTCATACTTTATAGTTCTTTTCCTCTATCACCTTTTCTGTTCACAATTGTGTCTTTCTTTTCATCTTCCATTATACTGTTTGTCATGTCATACTACACTGTCTCTTCCTTCTTTGACCCCCCTCCCCCCCCCCCCCCCTCTCCCCTTCTCTCTCTCTCTCTCTCTCTCTTTTTTCTCTTTCTTTCTCTCTTTTTTCTCTTTCTTTCTCTCTCTCATTTTCTATCGCACTATTACTATCTCTCTCACTCTATGTCTGTTTCATTTTGTTTAACTATCTCTCTTTCACCCTTTTAGTATGCGTGTATATGTGTCTCGCCCTCTCTCACTTTATCTCTCACTCCATATATTATTATCATTATCATCGTTATCATCATCATCATTATCATCGTTATCATTATCATCGTTATCATCACCATCATTATCATCGTTATCATTATCATTGTTATCATCATCACCGTTATCATCATCGTTATCATTATCATCGTTATCATTATCATCGTTATCATTATCATTTTTTTTACTGGTATTATCAATATACATGTCCTTAATTCATATACTGTATTTTTATGCTACGTGTTGCAGCGTCTTCTTCACTGTCACTCCTTTAACTTAACGGTCATTTTTTGTTTCCTTCTCTCCTTCCAATCTCATCTGCTCACTCCTCTCAAACAACTTCACCCTCCCCCCTCCCTCTGTCTCTCTGTCCCTCTCTCTGTCTCTCTCTCTCTCTCTCTGTCTCTCTCTTTCTCTCTGTCTCTCTTTCTCTCTCTCTCTCTCTCTCTCTCTCTCTCTCTTCTCTTTCTCTTCTCTCTCTTTCTCATATTCTCTCTCATTTTCTACTGCACTATTACTATCTTCTTCACTGTCACTCCTTTCAATGGTCATTTTATTTTCTTCTCTCCTTCTAATTTCATCTGCTCTCCTTCTAATTTCATCTGCTCACTCACTCTCAAACAACTTCACCCTCCAAAAAGAGCTTAGGGATATTACGTCTGACTTTCTTCTGTGGTCACTTCATTTACACTTTCCATTTCTTTTTCACCAGACATCGCCTCGTTAAGAATTCATTATCAGCTATGACGGGGGCTTGCGGAGGGATGAAATGTTGAGTTCCCCGGCAATATAGTGCGGACCTTTTAACCTCGAGATTCGAACAAAAATATATCTGGGCCTACTCAGAGTTTGATTGTTGTTGTGGTTATCGATCATAAATATTCATATTTACATATTCCAATATACAATTGCTTTCAACACTTCAGAGAAATCTGGGATTTTGTTTTGTCTCTCTCTCTCTCTCTTTTTTCCTTTTTGGTCACAAATCCAAACTTATTTTTACTCACATGTTTTCAGGATGCAAGAAGCCAGAGAAACGTATATACAGAGTTTTGCCAAAACGGTTCAAGTTCGGCACAATAAATATGGCACATAATGCTTTGTTGGTCATGACACGAAACAAAAGAATATACGCCATGTTGTGACCAGCTGAATCCAAGTTTGCTAATCTCTTTGTATAGATGGCTCTTTAAGAAGCTAATGTAACAAAAATTCCAACCTTCAAGGATTTAAGTTGCATTTAAGTTATTTTTGTATTACATGCTACCTACCATTTAGCAGCATCTTGAATACGATTGGTTTAAGTTGACTACAAGAAATGAAAATGTCACTCCAGGTAATGATTAGAGTGAGTTTTCAAAGCATCGACACTTTCATAAAATATTAGGAATTGAAAATTGAGAAAGTAAACCTGAAGATCATCCTTGAAATAGTGTGCCTTTATTCAGTATATACTGATTTTTGATATGTCAGGGAAACCTCAACCAGTCTAAAGTATCAAATCATAGGACAGGTTGTTTCAATATATGAGCCCTACCTTTTTCCGAAACCACCATTCTTTTTTCTTGGAAATTCTGTCACACTCTATCGACAAATCCCGCATCTATCCATGATGAAGGAACCTGATACTCTCGAAGTCAATGTATTCACACCGTCCAGATATTAACAAGCGAATGCTACGTTGCACCCTAAATACCTACCTGCCTGGAGGGACATCATGCGTATGGCCTTCAAGGCTCCGGAGGCTTATGGTTTTCCATCCCAGGGAGTTCACACTTGATCACAGCATGGTCTAAAGCTCAGAAATGGAGTTTTTGATAATTCATGACTAGCTCCGAGATGGAGCAAGTTTGATTCATTCATTTTATTTCCAGAATAAAAATGATAAGCTCCGGTCTTTGCAGTCACCCCAGACCTTTTATTAAAGCCCCACTGTACTGCTTATAGCTACTTCCGCCCTCTATAGAGCAAACAATGGCTAATCGGTGACCATTGGTCCCCCATGGCCCCCTTTTTCTTATGTTAATTGAGAGCTGGTATGATGACATAACCACATGTCAGTGACCATGCAGGGAGGTCCAATCCCTCCTGGCCAAACTAGTGCAGATAGGCTTCGATAGATGTATATATATATATATATATATGAAGAGCCAGAAGGATGTTAGCTTGTGTACTTAAAGACAGAGTTAAAGCTCTTCTGGCTATCGATCAAATGATACCCTGTTTATATCTGTGTATATTCCGTATCACTCTGTGTCACACCAGAAAAAGGTCTGAGGTAAATGCAGCGTTACCTTCGGAGGTTACCTTCTTCATGCTTTTTACTGTAAGCATTTTTATTTAGAGTGAACCAGGGGTGACATGTTTGGATTTTTTTTTTAAATTACAACAAAAATCATTTTGACCCGATACTTTTTGCTGATACCAACCAAAGGTGCGAAGGTGTCGCTCCGATCAGATCAAAGCCTCAACTTTCAGGGTTAGAAGAGGGTCTAAACTCTATTTAAATTTGGATTTATAACTCCCTTCTGGCTCTTAATTAACAGACAAAAGTATATTCCGTTACAAAATAAAGATTGATATTCAGATGACCACAGTTCAGAACAATGCATTAGGGAGATGTGGGGTTAAATGTGAACGTAGTTTCCCCCCATAGCAAGAAGTAGGCCTACCCCAGCTACCACTCAATTGTCGCCTTGAAATATGATATGCCATTTTTTTTCCTTGAAGGGGGTTTGATGATGGAGAGACAATTTTATTCAGGGGGAGTAATTTTAGACTTGCCGACAGGCCCTTGTTGAGGAGAGAAAGCGCTCAGGCAAAGACCTGGACCAAACTCATCCTGTGATTATTAATTTCAATGTGTCTAGCTGTCTTCTTCATTTCTCAGTAAAAAGATTATTGAAAATTGAATTTATTCTCTCCCCCCCCCCCCTCCCCCAGTATCATTACCTCTCCCTTCCTCTCCCTGTCCTCTCTCCCTCGTGTTTCCTCCTTGTATCTACGTCATGCTATTTTTCTCTCCCCCCCCCTTCTCTCTCTCTCTCTCTCTCTCTCTCTCTCTCTCTCTTGAGAAAAACATAAAGGAGTAAATTCATTATACAACACACAAGTCTATACCAGTAATGATTTTATGAGGCAACTTATATATATTTCAATTAGTTGTAGAATATGGTTATCTCAAATATTTACTTTTTTTTTCTTTTTTGTATTTTTGTTTTTATTGAAAATATAACTCAACGACATCGCATTCAGTAATAACATATCAATTCAAATATTTACATTCAATGAAATATCAAATAAAATAGTTGCTCTATTGTGTCTTAGTGCATACTAGATGTAAGGTCCTTGTCTAGTATAAGATAACACCAAACTTTTAAGGGTTATATGTATATTTTTTGTGTTTGCTGTATCAGCGCTCTGATCAGTATTCTGTAAAAGCGCTTAATAAGAATCAGTTATTTTTATATTATTAATATTATTGTTAGTAAACAAGCGCGAGTGATGATTTTAACCCGTTAAAACCAATTCAATCCAGTTTTAACCAGTGTCAACCAGTTTGCCTTGGTTCTAATCAGTCCACTTTGCTTCTGTTTCCCTACAGACCTGCGTAAACAGTTCCTCCAGATGCCACTGGACCACAGTGTGCCCCTCCACGACAAGTTCCATCTCCTGTGCCGGGCACCAGAGGGCGTCCCAGAGCCGACCATCCATTGGGAGATGGACGGAGTGCCCATTGACGACGAGAACCTCGTTCATTACGTGGTGACGTACGACGGGACCCTCATCGTCAATGAAGCTACACTGGCAGATAACGGCAACTATACTTGCGTGGCCACCAATGTTGCCACTTACAGAACAACAGATCCAGCTCGTGTCATTGTATACGGTAAGAACACTTTCTGTTTCAGAACAACTGCAGAATACCCTAACTTCTAATTATCACCCTGATGCATCACTTAATGCTAACCCTTATCCTAACCTTAAATTAATTTAATTGTACTAGTTGGGTATCTATCATGCAGTTAATCAAGTTTCCACTATTTTGCAAAAATTGAAATCATTCCTAACCAAGTTTGGCCGAAAAAAACAGTTACAGATTCTCAAGAGTTGTTGCCCAGAAGTTCATGAGGAAGCAGATGAGTCAGTAGATAAGGAATTGTTCTGGGAATCGGTAGGTCCAGGCCTGTTAGTTTGATGATGATGATGATGATGAACAGCATTTGTATGGCACCATATATCTGTTTAAAAAAACATTCAAAGGTGCCAGCTCCTCCAACAAAATTAGCATTTAAATGTCTGAAGAAGATGCGAGTTTTGAGTGCAGCTTTGAAGTGGTCCAGGTTGTCAATTTCCTGAATAGATGATGGGAGGGAATACTAGAGTCATTGGTCATTCATCACCAAGTCCTTTGGATAGGACCAACTGCTGCAGGTTTCCTGGTTGCTTCCTAGCCTGTAATCATCAACAGTCATACATTTTTAGGTGTTGGCTAAGACAACATCAATAATAATAATATTAATTACGCTTTCATAAAACACTTAATACATATCTATGAGTATGATGTCTCTAAGCGCTTTACAAATATACTATTACCTCGATCATTGGATTCAATACTTGCCCACAATCTCCACTCCCTGGGGAGCTTTCCAGCGAAGCGTTACTTGATGCTCAAAAACCGAGTACCCATTTACCACCTGTGTGAAGAGTAGCAAGTGCAGGTAAATATCTTGCCAAAGGATATAAAGTGCCGTGTCGGGATTCGAACCCTCGACCTTCGCTTCTCCAGTCAAGCGCTTTAAAACCACCAACACCAACAAGTAGAGAATCGTCAACAACAGCATCAACATTTTCCAAATGGGCTTTTATTTTGACATCCTGTAGATAATACAAACGATGGAGCGTGGACGATCTGGACGGAATGGAGCACCTGTACCGGAGACTGTGATGGTGGGACTAGGAGGAGGATGAGATACTGCACCAACCCTGCCCCTCTCATCGACGGAGCTAACTGCGTGGGAAAGGCAGTGCAGACCGAAGACTGTTCAATCGATTGCCCAGGTAGGAAATCTTAGTTCAATATCCTCCCAAGCTGTGAAAGATTTCAGAGACCTTTTCAAAGTTCATTTGTTTTCAATGCATTGAAATGTACAACTTGATGTATCGTGGTCGAGTGGATACGTCACCAGACTGTCGATCACACAGTCCGCATTTCGAGTCCCGCCACAGCACTAATGTCCTTTGGCAAGACATTGATCTACATTTGCCACACTCAACGCAGGCGAGGTAAATGGGTATCTGGCAGTAATAAATCCCCTGAAATGCTAGAGCGCCGTAATGGCAGCCGTGCTAAAGCCAGGGTAATAATCTCCCTCTGCACCTCAGAATAGTTTACTAGATCGATGGCACATAATAAATGCTGTAGTATTATTATTATGTGCTGATGGCGTCATCTCTTCGGAGCCAATGCCCTTCTGGCTTTCAGCAGGGGATATCATCTTCATTACTGTCCTTACCTCTGTTTCCCACTGCTTTGCTACCTGCAGCTGCAGCCATCGGTTGGAGCGAATGGAGCGTGTGGTCTCGCTGCACGGACGAGTGTGTACAGATCAGAACCAGGACCTGCACCAGGCAATGTTCGGGCGAACCGCAGCAACGGAGGAACTGCTCTGGAGGACTCTGTTTAAGTGAGCCACCACGTATGTGTCTCCCTCTATACCAATTTCATTTGAAGGGCCATATGTACAGTAATGGCGAGTGTTGCAGCTCTGGGAAAGAACCCAATTACCATTTGCCTATACACAATTTGTAAAAAATCTATTTAATAAAATTCACTTACAAGTATCATTAACAAAAAGAAAAACAAGCAAAAATTTAGGTTGAATGCAAGCAATGAACAGGGCTTGTTTTCAAGATCTGGTCTATTTAATTTTGACATACTGTTACCAATTGTTATAGGCTTGCCAATACTGTACATACATGTAGGCTTCATCTTATACCTCCGTTTTTTTAGTGTCGCCCTCCCCTTCCCATCCCCACCCCTCCCCCCTCAATCCATTGTCAAATATTGAACCCAATCAGTCTTATTGTAAAGTCTAGTCAGTTACCCCTTTGAGAATGCATTCTTCTTGTAGGCCCTTTGTTCTCCTTGTACAATGCCTCGAACAATACTATTTCCCTCTGTTAAATTGTTAAGTTCATATCTAAGATTGCTCTATTTATCACCAAATAAGTAAATGGTATCCCCCAATTGCAATCCTGTGATTTGTTTTATTTGTGGTATTATTTTAAAATATAGTGATATCATTGTTTTTATTTGGGTCGCTTTTTACCTTGTCAAGGTAATTTATAGAAGAAAACGGAAACTAGAGATCAAATTGACTTCTCCCATCATTGTTTAGTATTACTGTTCGAGCTTTTGATCAGTGATATTAAATTTGGTAAGGCCCAATATAAGAAATGAGTTATATTTTTGAAGTGTTTTGGAATACTTTTTTTTAACCCTCTTTGAGTAGACAACATGAAGTAATACTGGCTATATAGTGATCACCTCAAAGAAATAGGATATCATAAGAACATATATCATTTGTTATGCATTTTCATGAGATAATCCTTTGCTTTTAATGGAAAAAAGGGATGCAGGTGAAAGTACGCTCACTTCTCTAGTCTTCCAGGATGCGGTCGTTGAATTTTATTTATAAGTTTGAGCAGATATTGAAACTACTCACTCCCTAACACACTGGGGTTTTAATATGTAGGACTTACACATACATATATGCATGCACTCTCTAGCATAAGTCTGAAGACAACTTTTTGCTGGAATCTGATTGGACAATCACCACGAGACTGCGATTTTACAAGGGCAAGGGCATCATACTTTTCGAAGTAGGCCACCCCATATATATGACTCACGGTCACCGTTTAAGGGCTATTTTCTCACTGCATTTGATTTCATTCAACGAATGTTTCATCGCCCAATATCATTGCCCGAAACATTTATATGAAGTACATCATGATAGCTCATAAGCGTTCTTTTTTGCCTTTGATGTGTCAGAATTGGATAGGACACAGAGTAGGCTGGCCAGCTCTCTGATACAGCTCTCTTTTCAGTGATTGATGTTGCACAATTCAATTTCGACGCCTCAAGATGTAATGCCGAAAGTTTTATTAGGATCATTGCCACCATCAACAGCACTCAGAACTTGAGTGAACACCTCATGGATTTTATTGGGTGGGACTGGGTAATAAACCGGCGGCTTAGTACAGACGCTTGAAGCGCATGATGACGAAACACACATTTTCAGGCATATTATCGTGACACTATTAACCTTTTAGGGTCTCGCCTGTAGTCTCTTGTCATTCATGATTTCTCGAGGATGTGGATCACTAGAGGAAGGCGTTTCAGAGAATTTATCAAAAAAGGACCATTTTCACTCTGGAAGAAGTGAAATAAAAGTGGGATCACCGACTTATATCGATTCTAGTTTCTTTCCCTTTTCTATCTAAAGTCATTTTTATATCATTTAAACCATAAATATAGATAAAGACTTACAAGAGGGTCACTTTTAAAAGTCTATTTAAGGTAACATATTTTCACGAAGTGACGGTAGTAAGGAAAATCGTAACGCAAAGTGAATGCAATTTTGTTTCACTACCGTCACTTCGTGAAAACAGCGACGATATGTGTACAATAGCCATTTAGTGCTGATATTTTTTGATGCAATGTCACTAACTAAATACAAATTCAACATGTTTAATATAGAAATTAATAGTAATCCAGCTTGGGATATGACAATGAACACAAGGAATATTCAAAACTCCTTCAAATTCATACGTGAGAGTATGTGTGTTTTAAGTTCAGATGTGATAAATACCATTTTGAATATCATGGTCATATTGAATATGTATTCCCATTTCAAGAAAAATGACAAGCTGGCAAAAAAGTGTTAAAATTGCAATTGCAGTGACATATGATAATGACCAAACCCATTTAAAGATTAACAAATAACCAAATTTGGATGTAAGAACAATGTTTGGTAATGCAGGAAAAACCAGAATTTGAAAACCACCAACGTAATATTGCACTTCTTGGCACTATAATACTTTAGATTTCATAAGAAACGCCCAATCATCCTTCAATAAAAGCTAGATACACATTGACAAAAGAGACACATATTGAGTGGTTGTTATATTTGATGAATGATTCACAGAGCTCACTACCACCACCAACACCTTCAATATAAACTCATCCTCCAACGTCTTCATTGTATGAGCTGTTGAAGAAGAAAAAAAAGGTATTCATTCATCGGAAAAGTTATTGGCAGCGGCTGGTATATGATAGCTTCCATCACTTCCTGAAATAGTCTGACGCGCTCTCGCTAAATGAAGAAAGTCTCGCGTTACAGAGCAAACTCCGGCAACATGGTGACTGCGATTTGTAGGTTCATAACTTCTAGGAATGTAACTTTCACAACGAGAGACGATGAATGCGTTTTGGTCATGTGATACTTCCTAGAACAAATTTCAGGAGTTGAAAATGTCTCTCGATCATGTCACTGAATCCTTTCTGAATCGACAGGAGTAGAATGATATTCATTTCAATCAAAAGCTGGCATTTATTTTGGAAGGATCTTTTATAGCAATCATTTATCTAAAAGTAGCATATAGCGCGACCTGATCTTGACTCTTAACAATATTGAAATGTGATATTTGTGATATTCATTTCAATCAAAAGCTTACATTTGAAAGGATCTTTTATAGCAATCATTTGTCTAAAAGTAGCATATATAGCGTGTCCTGATCTTGACTCTTAACAATATTGAAATGTGATATTCATTTCAATTAAAAGCTTGCATTTGAAAGGATCTTTTATAGCATTCAATTGTCTAAAAGTAGCATATAGTCATTATAGTGTATATAGGGTGGCCTGATCTTGACTTTAGCAATATTTAAAGGTGATATTTATGTAATTGATGACGGGTGTGATTAAGTTACTGTCATTGTTACAACCATGGGCGATAATGGTTGTAACACTACAATTTTGATGATTTGGTAACTATATGGTGCAATCAAAACGATGATACTTTTTCCATCAATTTACTACTTTTTGATTAGCAAGATTAAGTTATGGCTCTCTTCAACGCTATTCTACTTTTTGATTGTTTACAAAAAATGGCAGACATGACAAACAGAGCAATGCGACACATGGTTGGTAAAACACCATATAAAGATATCATCTGCTTGGAGGCAGGAGGGCATTAACACATATTTATATATATATTTATATATTAACACAGAGTTAACGCCCTTCTGGCTCCAAACAGACAATATGCGATTAACCCAATGGGTGCATTTAGATTTTGATATATCATGCATTTATTATCGAAGACTGCAGTGCATGTAAGCTCCAGCTAAAAGTATACAACGATTTATGTTTCTTGAGTTGCTTGGTTTTTACGGGGTCATTGACCGGATTATTCCTGCTAGATCTGGGTTAATTTAGGTGGTGGCATATCTTGGACACCATTCATCATGTGAAGGATCCTTCTATTATTAATGATGTTGAAATTGCTGGAATTGCTTGGGTGGGTTTTTGTGCATATCATTATTGGCATTGAAGGTGTGCTCCTGTTTTAAGTAACAATGTATGTGGACCTATATATAATGTTTGAAATATATTTGTCTTGCAAAGTTGACAGTGATAATTTAGGGTTTCAAATATCAATCTATTTTTCAAATTGTTCCTGTTATTCTAAAAAGCTTTTTATTTTATTTTGCCTCCTCGTATCTATTATCTATTATCTCTCTCTCTCTCTCTCTCTCTCTGTTTCTCTCACTTTCTCTCTCCCCATCTCCCTCCTCTCTCTCTCTCTCTCTCTCTCTCTCTTTCTTTATTATTCTCTCACTCTCTCTCCCCCATCTCCCTCCTTCTCTCTCTCCCTCCCAACTCCCTCCTTCTCTCTCTCCCTCCCAACTCCCTCCTCTCTCCCTCTCCCTCTCCCACTCTCTCTCAAATATCGTGAGCTTTTGCAACTTCATTGCAAATGAGATATCACAAGAAATCTCTACGAAAATTGGAGAGAAAATGCATTCTTAAATGAGGAAAACACAGCATTTACTGTTCCTCATTTGCACCAATATCACGTCATCACGCCCCCATATATTTATTCTCCGTCATAATCACCAGACATGCTACAATGAAGTACTCGTGCTTATTGTTCACATTTTTTAAAGCATGGCTTTGTAGTTTATTTGTCCAATTTGTCCAATGCGGGAGGCATTAAAAGTAAGCAAATTGTCATCTTCTAGATGACCCCAACATTGCGTGTCTAAAGGACTTCAGTCGTGGTATAGTCATGTGTACACTAACCTCACTCTTGCTGGTGCTTCAGCTGTTATGTTTAAGTGTCAAAATTGCTACGTTTCTCGTGAGCTGCCCGACACATTACCGCAGTGTCTGTAAACATGTCACCGGGTTGCCAATATTCATAGTCATGATTTTCCTTATATTTTTTATTTGAGCGCTTAAAAGCAAGGCCTTGAAAATTGAGAGGTTGAAACTTGTTTAAAAACTTGAAGGGTATGCTTTCATATTTTGAGAATTATCATAAATTGACGGCATGGAGTATAGGTACAAGGGAAAGCTCCTTATAGAATGGCCATTAATCTGCTTTGAGATTAAAACGAGATCTTTTGCTTT